CATCATTTATTATTTGTTTGTCTTCATTATAATTTACAATCAGAGGGAGCATGGGTTTTCCCCTGTTATTTTTTTTTTTAACAAAGAGTAAGTTAAACTAACTGAAATTTTGTACTATACCATGTTCACTCTTGAAGCAATTCATATTTGACTTTTCTGTTTTGGTGTTTCATTGATGTCTGTCAGGTTTTTGTTTATATGAATATTTTATAGTTAATTCTTAACCCTTGTGTTACTCTTTTCCTTGAAATTGCATTGTTCTATCAAAGACATGCTTCTGTTGTGTATCCATTATGATGTTAGGATTTATTTATTCTTTTTCCCCAAAGTGCAAATTAATATATCAGCAGAACTAGAAGTAGGACTTCTATCTTCTGGTTTTTCAAGTGTAATCAAGTTTATCATTTTGGATGGATACTACAGGGCACCATGAGGAGCATCTTCATGACCATGTGCATGATTCAGCTGTCTCTAGCATTAGCATTGTTTCTGAAGGAACTCTTGATCTTGATGAGGTAAGGGAGTTTTCATTGTTATCTTGAGCCATAGTTGCAACTTCTGCCATAACTACGAGCACAAATGATAATCTGACCTGCTTTCCCATTATTGATTGCTACAGTAGTTACTATCAGAAATAATTTTGACACTGCTTGTTGTTGTCAAAAAAGAAAAATTGGTGCTGGTTGTTGGTAGGTAGCCTTTCTTGGGTTAATTATCAATTTAGGTTCGCAACTTAGCTCCTCTACATATTAGTTTTTTTTTTGGTGGCAATTATTTCTTTGAACTATCATAAAGGGCTAGATTTTTGTTCAATTTGGATGTATTTGTTAATCTTGGACCTGTCGTAACAAAAGATGTTTTTGAACTAATTTGTAAGATATGTTAAAGTTATGTGAATAAAATGATAAACAAGCTAATTTTTGTGGTAAAAGTTGGTAACTAGATTGTCAGGTTTTTAAGCTCTTGGTGCCTTTTCCGCTATAGCATATTAAAAAATGTTTTCATGATTTAATTTTTCGCCTAGAAAAACATCATATTATTTGAAGGTTATTTTCTGCTAATCACCGTTGATCATGGAAATGATGTTACATAGGCTGTCAACAATTACAAAAAAAAGTAAAACTCATGATTAACATGCATGAAAAGTGAAACAATTACGAATGTTTGTTTCCTTTATCTGTCAATCAAATGTGAAGTAACTAGGTTTTTATTTTGTGGTCCATCAGGCTCTCTTTGTTTTGTTTTGGTTTCTAGGTTCTCATCATATCTCTCTCTTTTTCCTCCACACAATGTAATACGTTGATTTTCTGTTTGTGGGTGGATCAGGTTGATGATTGGCTTGAGAGACTCATTGAAGAAAAAGGAGAGGATTTGTATAGAATGAAGGGTGTCTTGTCTGTGAATGGTTCTGATCAGCGTTATGTTTTTCAGGTTCCCATCTTATCACAAGGCGACTTCACAACTAATTACCTGACTAATTTTATGAATTCTCTCATTCTCTTCCGCAGATTTTCACTACCATTTCATTCACGGAGTGCATTCCGAACTCGACGGTGGCCGGGGGAACATATGGGACGCAAATGAGAAGATGATCGTTTTGATGGTATTCCTTGAAAGGAATTTGGATGAATCTCTTCTCCCAAAAGGTTTCAATGGTTGTCTCATAAAATAATGTGAATCTATGGATGTCAAAATGGGCAATTTTGCACCGGTGCAAGGAAGAAAAAAAGTGCAATTCTGTAAAAGATGCTCACAGGAGAATTACATTTTGAAACTTGTTGGATTTTTTGGCTTTACTAAGAGAAGAGGCTTCCCTTTAGGAATTGATCACCTCATATCTATGAATGTGATCTCGCAGATGCATAAATGATTGTAGTAACTTCTTTTTGATCAATTACTGGCAATCTGTTAGGGAGTCTACAAATAACACTTTTTGCCAAATTGTATCAAAGAAGGAAGAGTTCTGCACCTAGTGTATATTTATATATTTGAAATGAAAGTAATAAACTTCATTCAAGCAGGTGGCTGTAAGCCATTCAAATAAAGCAGCTGAGGTGTGTAGGGCGGCGGAAGCTGCCTACAAAAAGAGCCATCGGAACTTCCCTAGACAAAGCACTAGTAATCCGGTTACAATAACTAGTAATCCAAGTGGATTAGAAAAAAAAAAAAAAAAAAAAAAAAAAAAAAAAAAACCCAGGATTAAAAATTTAATAATCAACCAAAATACCCAACTCTAATTGTAAAGGCTGTTTATGGGAAAAACAATTAAAAATGACACGGGAATCTTCGTCCACAATTATATGTGAGATGCCTTGGAATATGGCTAACTCTAAGCAATAAAAGAGAGCCATGGCCTTCGACACTTTGATCGATCTTGGCAAAACAGTCCTCTTTGTCACTACGAAGATAACTCGCCCCTGACAATATCAGCAAACTACCTTCATACTGGTTAAGCCATTATTTACAATTAATGTGTATGTATTTATCAAATTAAAGGTGAAGAAGCATTTTTTGGTCTCAAGAAGTGGTTCTTTTCTTGAATCTCCAGAAGATTCTTCCTTTCATTGGAAATTTTTTGTAACTTTCTACTAAATTATACGAAGTGTTCCAATGGTATTGATATAAGATTGGTAGAAAAAGTTCCAATATATGGGCGTACGTAAGTGATTTAATGTGTTAAAGTATATTTAATTTAATTGGTAGTTTAATAAAGTTGATAATTAATTTTTAATGTATTAAATTGTTATAAATTTGATATATAGAGACTAAATTGATATTTCTAATTTAATGAAGGGTCAAATTAAAAATAATAAAATTTTGTGTCTTTTTAAAGGGTTATGGTCCCCAATTTAAAACTATCAAGAGAATTTTCTTTCTCTCTTCAATAGAAAAACTTATTAGAATTTAAAATTATTTTAAATTAAAAAAACCAAACCCTATTCATCAAGAACAATCAATTTCATAATGGTTAAATATATATTTTTGATAAGTTTTTTTTCCTTTATTCTCATTGAATCGAATACGGAAAGTAATTTTGTATTATAAATATTTATTTAAATCCCACAAAGATATCCTCGCATACTATATATAAGGTTTTTGCTCCTCCAAAATTATAAAAGTTTATGTATCCATGGATAATACTCCTATCACTTTGGTCATTGGTTCTGGAAGTATACACAATTTTTTGATGCAAGTTTTGCAGTAGTTACATGAACTAGTTATACAAGGAGAAGACTTGAGAATTGTAGTAGTTAATGGTGAAAGAATTTAATGTGCTGGTATATAGAATGTTATCTCTTGAGTTGGATAACTCAACCTTAGATTTTATTCTCATTTCTTTAATTGGTTTCAATATTATTTTAGTAGTCAATTGATTGTGCACTATTACTTGGGATTTTCAAGTAATGCAAACTGAGTTTGTCTTCAATGAGCATAATTGTTATTTTCTTCATTTTAGCACAAGATGACTGTTTTATGACCATTAATCATTTATTAGTGGAATTTGATGACATATTTCAAAAGCCAATAGAATTTTCTTTAAAACATTCATGTGATCATTACATTATTTTACTTTTCGATACACTACTAATTGCGTAGTACTTTTATCAATATCATATTTTAAAATATATAGATTTATCAAACCGTAATATTTTTTTTTTTTAATTTTTATAAGAGAGCGTATATTTAACTTTATGATTATTAATATATATTTTATAAGGTATTTTTGTTTTGTTTTTTTTTTAATATTATACTTAATTTATACAAAATAAAAAATTATACAAATTTAATAACAACAACTTAAAATTAATTTATTTTAAAAATTTAGAAAATAAAACAAGTATATTTAATGTAATCATTATATTTTATTATATTTAAACTAATACTTCTCTATTTGTTAGAAATATATATAGCCTTAAAAAAAGGCTCTTTATTTTTCTTTAAAACAAGGTAATCAACTATTGCGCATATATACACACTATATATTTCAATCATGCAAATTAAGAAACGGAATCTAGCTGATTAAATTTCGAATAGAATAATTAAATGAGAACTCTCCGGAACTTCAATTGCTTCTTATATACTCTAATAATTGCAAGATAATTTAAAATAATATTTAAAAAAATATAGATTATCAATATTATTGTTATTATTATCTCATATATTCTGCAGGGGTCTATCCAGTGGTGGTAAAATTGTAATATATTAAGTGGAATTATTGGAGAGCTTGATAATTCGTGCAAGGCAGTAGTCTGCGGGTCTTGGGATGGGTAGGTAGACCACGGGGCTGGCAGGATTAACCCGGTCAAGCCTGCACCACGTGAACACAAAGCACCCAACTTTTAATTATTAATATATTTTAAATTTTATTTTTAAATACATATTTTAATTATATAATATAATAAGGTTTGAATTAAGAATATGTTATGGTTTACCTGTAATTAAGAAGGAAATAGTGAAGGAAAATGTAGACCTCAACCTTGGCTAGTTCAGCTCCAGGGCATATCCTGCTTCCTCCTCCAAATGGAATGAAAGAAGATGGTTTTGGTTTGTAATCCTACAACACCAATTCAATTGATTCATAATATTTTATATTTTTATTTTCTTTCTTTTATTATTAATTAACTTATATAATATACTCATATATTTAGATATAGCAATTAAAAAAAAAAAAAAAAAAAAAAAAATCTTACTTCCCATCTAAATGGATCAAACTCTGTTGGATTTTTATGAACTTCAGGATCCATGTGAACGCCTCTATTCCACACCAATACTTTCCAGCCTTTGGGTATTAAATAACCTGATTAATTCAATGACATTCAACTCTCTTAGTAGTATTTAATTCTATCTGGATACTTAAAAAATAAAATATACACAAATAAAATACTGACCATTTATGGTTACATCTTCTTTTGCCTGACGGAAATTTGAAAATGAAACATTTGTTCTTCGGAGTGTCTCGTCAATCACCTATAAATTTTCATAATTATTTTTAAAAATTATATAAAAAATAATTTCTTCTACTAATTAAAAAAAAAAAAAAAAAAAGTAAACATAGCGTACTTTACTAGTGTAACGCATTTGTCTTATCTCGTCAAAATTCAATCCTCTCTGTGTGGATGGTCTTTTCTTCACCACCTCTTCTTGCTCTTCCTAAAATTTCGACCTTAAGTTTAATAAAATTAATTATCAACTACCAAATATAAAAAAAAAAAAAAAATTACATATATACCTTGGCCTTCTGCAACATGTCTGGATGTTGATGGAGATAAATAAGTGCCCACATTGCAGCATGTGCAGAGCTTTCATGGCCGGCTAACAAGAAGACCAGCAGTAAATCTATAATATCCTCGTCTTCAAGCTTCACACTGTTCTCATCTTCAACTTCCAACAATAAATCAACCATCCCCCTCTTTCTATCCTCCCAATCTTCGTTCTTAAGTCTCTTCCTTTCATCAAGAACTCCTTGAAGAATCTCAACCAACTTCTTTCTTGCCTACAAATCTCCATAAATAATATAAGTATTTTATAATTCATAATATTAAATAATTAATTAATTCGATCGTCTAAAAAAATTAAACAGATATGAGATATTTAATAAATTAACAAGTCTCTTCATATACAAGTATGTTAAATTGCTCAATTTAATAAATTTTAGTACCATATTAAATAATTGATTGAAATTAATGTTCTAATAGTACAATATATTAGTATTGACAAAGTAATAGAAATTACATAATATAAATAGACATGTTATAGAATGGAGGTATGATATACCTTGAGTGCCTTGTGAAAAGCAAAACCAGGGATGTTAATAGCAACTGCTTTTAATCCACAACTAAAATCTATGTAATACTTCTCCATTAATTTACGTGTGGAATCATCGTGAGAACCCAGCCATATGTGGGTAATAACCTTGAAAGCTGCCTTTCTCATCTCATTCAAGAATTCAATTGGGCGTTGCATGGAGGCCCATTCATCCAACGAAGTCATTGCAATGTCTTCCATACAGGGAATGTACGTACTCAACGCCGTGTGACCACTGATGGGCGAGCTGGTAAGCTTGCGCAAGCGCTTGTGCTCAGCATGGGAAACACTGTGAAATGATCTTTTCCCAGTCAACTGTTTAGTGGAGGCAGGGTAACCTAATGCGAAGTGCTGGTCATCTCCTAACACTTTCCGACAAGTCTCGGGTATACTCACTATGATACTTGGGCTCCCAAATAAATAAGTCTTATAGATACCAGTTCGTCCATATCTACATACACAAATGAATTAATACACTATCATACATCATACATAGATATATATGTAATTTATTTTAGAAACTTTTCAAGTGTAACATATGTGACTTATTTTTAAGAAAAATATATGTACTTATAAATATAAAGAGACGGAGAAAAACCTCTTAACCAATTCGTAGATGAAGTTGTCAGGAGTTTGGGATTTAAAAGCTTTAATGAAGGCGCGCAGATTCCCAAGCAAAGGCCACCCCATATCTCCTGGCGGAAGAAGTTGTTTCTTCTTCCCCAATCTTCCGACATAATACCACTCGTTTGCACGTTTCACTATCCCAAATACTAACACATATGCACACACAATAACTCCAAATATCAAGAAAACCAAATCCATTTTGATCTCTTTAATTGTTCTCTTTTTCTGTTTCTGCACTTCTATTTATAGCCCACCTTTGGCTATTAAATATTCTTGTTCTTAATTAGCAGGCATGTCTTATTAATTTACAATATACCCATTCATATGTATATATATATTGTTCTCTTCCCATATAAATGCAAGCCAACTGTTTGTTATTTTCATTTTTTATACTACTCTCGTTGCTTCTTTATTCGCACTACACCAGAAATTATTTGGAAATACCGTATAACAACCTTTAGTATAATCTTGTTGTTATTATTATATATATTAGATCAGTTATTAATTCCTAATTTACCGGAATTATATGTATAGTTAATACATCCCATGGAGTATTTTATTCTTACAAGCTTTATATCCCGCTAAATCTTCTTATATTTATATGACTAAATATTTTAATAGTTATTCAAATGATAAAGAAATGTAATTCAACAACAAACATGTGAAGTTAAATATTTCAAATATTCACTAAATATTTTATGTTGTTGTGTTGTACTTTACTTATATTAATATATAATTTTTGTCTAGAATATATAGAAAAGATAAATTCAGACTTTAGTTTTAAAATAGGAGATAATGTCTAGGCAGTTCTATGTGCTGGAAGAAGTGTTACACTGTGTGTATTACTTCAGACTAAGAGTCCAGGATTCCATGTCCTGGCTTTTTAAGCCGCCAGGATAGGCTAAAGAAGACATGGGCATTTGAGGAGTTGCACGATGTATTATGTATTTATCTGAAGTCACGCCCAACGTAGCGCACTTACACATTAACAAATGTGTGCATGCAATGCTTTACGTGTTTATGATGTGTCAATAGGCAACCAACATTTGGGCGGCTCGTGCACAATATGTGCGCAACATGCATGCAGTGTGCCTGTCTCATGCAGTTTGTGTCCCTATTTCATGTTTGAGCCTATCCCAACAGTTTCAAGTGTCAGTAGATGTTTATTAAGCTCTGCTTGAGCCTTGTGTCTTTATGCATTTATTTGAAAAAACCAATATTTATTTTATTGACAAATAAGTTGATTATTTCCCTACTAGTAACTCTTGTTCCTCAATTGATAAAGCAATAATCAACTAATAATTATTTTGCGGTCAAGAATTATGTCAAAATTTCACTTGGTATTTCAGCTAACCAAAAGCAAATAACAATATAGTGACTTTAATAAGTATAAATAGTGAGTTAATTAAACTAACATAGATAAAAATAAGTATGTTGAAAAGAAAAAAAGAAATAAATGAGGAGACTAATCCCTCTCTAATGAAGTTTAGATTGAGGGAGGCTTTTTTTGGTACGTTAATGAATACAAAAAGGTCAGAATTGTTGAAAAAAATCCTCAATATATTATATTAGGAATGCTTATCAATCTTATGTAAGATTTAAATTAAATACTTGATGTCTCATACATAATAAAAAAATATTTCAAAGAGACTTTTTATAAAGAAAATTAAATTGAATGACTACTCAAAAGAAAATTGAAGTTTTGAATGACTATTAAAAGATGAAGTTTTGAATGTTCCAAAAAAAAAAAAAATCTGAAGAAGCTTAACTGGTCAATTGACTGATTCAAAATGGAGAAATAAATATTAAAGATTAAAATATTGGAGATTTGTTTTCTATCTATATTATTATGTTTCACAAATTGACTCAAAGATCAAAGTTATGCATTTAAAAATCCTTCAAATAATTTGATATCTTAAAAGAAAATTATTAGTGTAGATTTTTAAGAACATTTTTATCCGTATATTTTAAATGTAAGTTCTTAAAATTAATAAACATAATTTAGAAGTGCATTAAACGTTCATTACAAGGTTGCTGGCAGAAGGAAAATTTTTGCGGCAATAAATATTTATGTGACTTTCTTATACAGGTCAAAACTCATATAATGTATGCCTATCACCCAATAAGCTGTAGCAATAGTCATGATAGTTGCACCAAGAGAGAAGGGAATGTATGCTCTTGGACCTATAACAATGGTCATTCGTCTATAAAAGCAACAAATATGGCTATGGTGATGGTCATGCTAATAATAACTTACTACAAATTAAATTAATGACGTTTATTGTGACATATTCTTTTCTTAGTTCACTTGTAATTGAGATTAAAAAAAAAATCTTAATTAGAGAACCTTTATTTAAGAAAATCAATGTCCAAGCTTCTAACCACCTGCCTAAGCGAGAGGAATTCTATATTTAATTAATTAAATCGAAAAAAAATGTAAAACTGATGAAGATTATATACATATAATTGTATTACAGAGAAGCTTACAAGTTTATGATGGATTCCAAGCTTAGACCATGTTATCATTTCAAGCAGCTCTTCCAATATGGATCCATACTGTCCTTCCACATAAAGTAAGTCAATTAGAAATCTAATTAAATTTTAAATCAAAGTTAAAATCTGAAAACATAATTTTAATGTCAAAATCATTTAATAAAACTGTGAGCTACCACTCGAGATTAAAAATACCACTTAATCAAACTAAGCTGTTGAGTTACAGCTAATCTGATAAATTAAAAAATACAGTTTCCTAAATAACTTCCAACCTTCAACTAGTTATATTTTAAGAAAGCAGATATTCTTTTTACTCAATGCAAAGTGGAATATGCACAAGAAAATAGTTAACAAAACCCATCATAAAGCGTAGGAGACAAACAAATTACCTAAAATTAGTAGGGTAACATGCAACACCCTGATTGGCTTAGCAGGAATTTAGTTACATCATAATTTGGTTTCTAATAATGATTTTTATTATTTATAAAATATAGGAGGAAAAGAATTCATTGGCAGGCAGAAACTTCAGAAAATGTAGAGGACTCATTTAAGTATAATATATTTTCAAAATTTAAAGATGGTGACAGAAGAGGAAATGTACATTAAATGTGGGCTTTTTACAAATAAAAGGGAATATGCTTCTTCATCCTCTCATTTCAAAAAAATTTATAAAAAAAGAGTTGCAAGATTTCTTTAAATTCACTTCTCTTATAATTAATAGAGAAGTAAATACAGAGCATAGTAGAATTTTATAATAGCAGCGTAGTTCTAAATCGTAAAAAACTTTTAGAATAGTTAGAACTCGTAAGAACAAAAATTTTTCAAATTCAAAAGTAATTGAATATATTGTAATTACTTATTATTTTTAAAATAATTTGTTATTAGTTTTTATGATAATTATCTTGTTATTATTATAAAATAGAGAAAAAATAGAAAAAAAATTCTTAGCAAGCAAGAACTTCAGAAAATATGGACAGTCTGTTCTTCGAATATGATATACTTTTAAAAGTTAAAGGTCATGATGGAAGAGGACTTGTATGTTGCATGGTGCTTATTGCATGTCAAGAGGAATATGTTTGTTCCTCGTGTTGAGAATGTGATCAACTATATGGCACTTTGGAAAAAAAAATGAAGAGTTCCATCTTCTTGTACATAAATGGGTAAAAGGTTAACAGATGGAGGGTTGCAAGATATCTTTACATCTTCTTGTCATATAATTAATTGAGAAGTAAAACGAGAATAATTAAACTTTAAGATAATAGAGTAGTTCCCATGTGAAGAGTCTTACAAGCATAATAGAACTTGTAAAGAAGAAAGTTCTATAAATTTAAAGGCAGCTGGATATATCGTACACAATGATGGAAAAAAGGTTTACAAATGGAGAGTTGCAAATTTTTTTAAAATCTACTTCTAATATAACAAACCAAGAAGTAATGATGTCTTTTAATATATTTAATATAATGTATGAATTAAATAGTTATTCATTTAACTATGTTATCTTTTCATAGGCTGCTAATATAGATATTGGTAGTTTTCCAAATGACAATTTGTCTGAAGATGGAACTTGTCAATCCCATGATAATTCAACTATTTAATTTTCTGAATGATGTTTTGAAGATGTTTTGATTTCAAGATCATTAAAATGCTTTTTAAATAACATTGATGTTAACATTTGATTCATATTATGGTAATTACATATTTGATTTGCTGTAAGTTCATGTTATATTTATATTTATGTAGTATTTATTTTAAATTATAAAAAGTTTCATAAAGAATAGGAACATTACAACTAGATATAGAGGATGATAATATGCATATTTATTATAGATGTAACATCTCGCTTTCTCAACTGATAAATGAGCATTATTTTATGCATACAACCTAATAAATTTGTGTAACAATATATTAAAATTTAAAAATTATTTATACATTTTTTATTTAAAATTATAATTCATAAGTCTCATAAAAATTTTAAATTACATTATTATGATATACTTAAATTTATTTTATAAAATAAATTCTCAAAATCACATCTTAATGGTGTGATGGGTTCATATGGTAACAGTTACACTAAGCTTTATATATGTGTATGTATATATATATATAAGAAGGTTGAATAAGATAACATCATGGTGAATCAGCTTGATCGGACACTGAATTTCATATAATACAAGTCAATGACCCTTAGCAAATAATTCATTTTTTTAGGCAATCGGCACATAATTAATTACATGCATGTGCACCACGCACCAAAAGAAAAATAATATATATATATATATATAATTTCTTCAAAGAAAAATATTACAGCGTTTCTGCCTTTTTCTTTTCCTCTGCATGTTAAATTTCTTTGTGAATGATCAATTAAAAAGAAACTTATAAATTACATAGCATATAAATTCTCATAATAGAATTTGGAAAGAATTATTAGATGTAACTTTTATTTAAGTGAACTTAATAATTTCTAAAAAATGTTAGTTATAGGAAACAAAGATAATTTTTCAAATTAAAATTTTATCATATATTCTCCAATTATGGTGCTCATGTTATTCTGAGAAGTCATTGATTATATTTTTATTATACATGTAAATAAGCTTCTAAATTTAGGATAAATTATTAAAATTTTAAAATATGCTACGTTGAATTCAATCCTATATTTTTTTCAATTCTAATTTTCTCGTCAAACTCAAAATGTTTAGAAAATGTAA